GGTTAAGTTGTTCCGAGGGTCCCACCTGGAGCGACCTAAAGCTGGGAATCGTGGGCTCCGAGCGGCGGCGAAAAGCTTCTCGGTGCCCTCCGAGAAGCGGAGTACACAGAGGGAGGGATTTGGAGAGTTCTGCTTCGCAGATCCTGAAACGTTCAGTGCTCCAGAGAGATAAAGCAGCCGTCAAAGTGCACACACTGTCTTCAGCAGTATCGGCTTTCAAGTTCTAATCCAGTAAATAGAATCATAGAATAATAGAATGTTAAGGCATTGGAAAGAATCTTAAAGATCATCTAGTCTCAACGCCCGCTGCCATGGGCAGAGACACCTCCCACTAGGCAAGGTTGCTCAAGGCCTTGTCCAACCTGGCCTTGAACACTGCCAGGGTTGGGGTATCCGCAGCCTCCTGGGCAACCTGTTCCAGTGTCTCACCACCTCACAGTAGAAAATTTCTCCCTAATATCTAAACTAAATTTCCCCTCTTTCAATTTGTACCCTTTATAACTTGTACTGTCACTACAATTCCTGATGCATGGTCCCTCTCTAGCTTCCCTGTAAGCCCCCTTCAGATGCTGGAAGATCTCCACACAACCTTCACTTTTCCAGACTGGACAGCCCCAACTTTCTCAGCCTTTCCCAGTTTACAGATTCACAGGAATAACACAAAAATAACCCCCATTCTTATTATATTAATGTTAAGTTCTGTGGCAAATGAGATGGACTTGGAAAAGGAAAATTTGGGTCCAATCTCCCAGGCAGGAGCATGATCTTGTAATCTGGAGTAGATCTGGAGTCCCATTTTGCTCCCCTGGAAAAGGAGTCTCATGTAAGCTTGTTAAATCTGTGATTTTCACCCTCAGCACTGCATAAGAAGCCTGGGCGTCAGTGTGAGGACTGTGGATTTCACAGGACAGAGGTAACCAAAATTCATATGTTGAGGACTTGGATAGATATGCAGGTGTGGATTAAAGTGAGATGGGAGATGCTTTACCAAGGACCCACCCCACCTCTGAAGCAGAGATTTTCCATCTACAGTTAATCCTCAGATGTTTGCTGCTTTCATTTAAACACACTGTTTTATTTTAGATTGCGTTTAAGTGTTGGCTGATAGCTGACACAGCTCAAAAGCAGATTATATCTAGGCCATACGATGCAGTTCCAGCCATTTTACTTAAATCAATGACTACAGGCTCATAGAACCTGTGTCACCTAATCACCTTCTTCTTCATATGGCAAGAAATATGTTTCAGGAAGACTCGATCTGTGATTTTTGACAGCAAGTGAAACAATCCTGTACAGCTCACAGTTTCCTAGTTCTTTCTTTCCAGCTATTTTAAAGCCTCATTAAATGAGCAAAATGAAGCTTACCTAAGAAATTACAATTGGAAACCTGTCACCAAACAAAAAACAGAAGGAGAAAGATGCAGAGCAGGCAAGAAAGGTGTCTGGTGACACCTGTAAAATAAGCAAAAACCCAGACATCCCAACTCCCAAAATAAGTCAGCAAGAACAAATGAGATCACTTCCTTTTCTTTTGGGCTGGGCTCAGAGAGTATAAAACATAAACTGAGTGAAGAAAGCAACTACCTGCAAGAAGCTCTCGAGCCTGGTTATCCTTGTGACCAAGGACCACCAAGGATGGAGCCGTCGGCACTCACTGCATGGCATCAACTCCACTGCATTGTGTTCTTGCAGCTCATCTGGGATAGATTTTTTAAGGACTAATGGTTTTGTATATGTAGTGATCATGATAGTAATTGAGAACTAGCTATTAGCAACCTGAACTGCTTAGGAAACTTCAGTACTTCTTTTGCAGCTTGAAACTGGCTTGATTTATTTATTCCTTGCACACCCTAGTCACAGCAATACCCAATTCCCTAAACAGTACATGGAGCTGTGCTTTAGTTTGAAACACTAAAGAGCTGAGCTTTTCTGTTTTAGAACATCACATATACCTTTGTACTTGTTGATTTCATTACAGTTTTCACTGAGTTAGCTGATTAATAATTTCTAATCCTTACAAGGAATTAAAAAAAAAAGGATTAGGTTGCTGGTTCTGCTGTTGCTGTTCCCAGATTCTTCCCAGTTTTCATTGTTCTGTCTCCATGTATGACCATTCTGTTTGTGAAATAAAAAAAAAATAAAAAAATCACATTTTCTTTATCATCTTACTGCACAAATAATATTTTAATATTAAACCCAAAATAAGTTCAATAAATATATTTTAGAGGGAGTCATATGAAGAGTTTTTCTTTCCAACTGGACTATCTGTTTAACTATGCTCTGTTTCCCATGCTCTCAGTGTGGTTCTTGCCTGAGAAAAACCTTTATGATATTTTTCTCTATTATGACAGAATATTTGCAAGTAGAATTCTATATTCCAACTTTCCCAAAACTTGCATGCAGAGATATATTTTATTAATGATCTTTTTTACCTTAAGTGTAAAGTTAAAACATAGTTCTCAGTCAAAGACTAGAAGAAAACAAACATTCGTTTTATTGTTTCAGTTTTTCAGAAACAGGTGGAAGCAACTGCAGAAAGACCGAAGAAACTTCCAAAGTAGAATGAATTCAGATGTCTGTGTTTCTTCTTCTCAGCTCAGTAGCTGAGTCAAGTTTCAGATCTTTTCTCCTGAGGTAGTTAGAGACCTTTTGCTCATATTAGAGGTTGTAGATATGGATGCAATTTCAAGCAGAGAAAATGAGATCTTATGACTCAAATAACATTTCCTGTTATTTGAGTAGTAAAACAGAAAAAGCTGTTCTTCACCTTTACAATCCTTTAATATGCAGTCCTCCATACTAGAAGTTTTGAAAGGTGTTTTCATAAAATTCATTAGTCAATGTGGTCCTCGTATATTTCCATAAATCTGGCTGTGTGCAGTAGTTAAAAAATACACTTTACTATTTTAATTTAATTCTCACTTAGAGTTCATTCCACAATAGGCTTTATCTTGCTACTCAACCTACCTTTCATGGCATAGCTTCACCATTTTAAGTATCTCAGTTTTAAACATCTTTGCTTTGGGCTTGTTTTGACAGATTTTATATAAATAATAAACCTTGTTCTGTCACGGTATCAAGATTTTAATTCCTCTTTACTTACTGGTACAGTTCTCAATTTTGGATAGGTTAAAATTACTAAAATAAGCCAGGATATAATACAGGATATAATACAAATTAATCTTTTTTTCACTTTCCTTCGTACTTTCAGAAGCAGCCTTGAACAACTCTGGCACCTGCAAAAAACACTGAGTGGCAGTCAAGTATACTGACACAGTTTCGTCACACAGTTTCAGTGTGATTTGTGCAAAGTCATGCTGTGGAGGAAAAAATCACCAGACCTGAAAACTGCTTGAATTTATCCTTTTTTTGAAGGTTCAGTGCATTTTCTAACCTCTGTTCTCCTGTTTTCAAAACTGCAGTGAACAAGAAATGAGCTTGTTTGAGTCTAAAAAGTCAGCGTGCTACTGTCTATGCTCATATTAATTGATTACATAAAAGCCAAAACACATCCAAACAGTACACACCAAAAAAATAACACATTCCAGTAAAAGTTCTAGATGAACCCCAAATTTAGGTGCACCCAAAATTAAGTATTTACTGTACTTCCACATTTACAGCTTCACAGAGAAACAGACTGAGAGCTGCTGCAGTACAGGGAGTTGGCCATCATGGAATCAGAAGGGAGATTATTGGGAAAGTTGTGACCCTAGCTACCATCTGAAAGACCCCACATGCACTCTTGTGGAGTCAGTTCTAAGTCTTACTGACGAGAAGAATTTGTGAATCTATATTCATGAAAACACAGTCCTTTGATCTTCAACGTCTTTTTAAAATATATTTGTAAGTAAGAGGGTCAGACAGATAAGAAGTCTTTTCCTTTTTTTTTTTAATTCAGGGGGGCTGCCCGCGTTGCACTGCCCGAGACAAGACTTACGCAGGCATGGACCTTCTGCTCTTCCTGTAACACACAAGAGGGAGCGCTTGGTCACCACAACTTTCATAGAACCATAGAGTCATAGAACGGTTTGGCCTGAATGGCAACTTTAAAGGTCATTTAGTCCACCCCCTGGCATTAAGCAGGGACATATTCAACTAAATCAGGTTGCTCGGAGCCCTGTCCAACCTGACCTTGAGTGTTTCCAGAGATGGGGCACCTCCCAGTTCTCTAGGCAACCTATGCCAGTGTTTCACCGCCTTCATTGTAAAAATCTTCTTTCTTATTTACAGTCTAAACCTACCCTCTTTCAGTTTAAAATCATTACCCCTTTCCTTTGCTCTTCTCAGTTTTTGGTTAAAGTATATTCTGTGCCTAGGTTTTTCTTACTTTAAAATGAACTCTTTCAATTCAGTGATAAATGGACATCAGAAAGCTAAAAAAGTTTAAAGTAAAATAGTGGCAATCTCAGCCTTACATTATGTTGACATAGCTCAACTGAATGAGCTACAATACCCAAGGCTTCCCCATTGGTTAGGCTTACAGTTCAGCAGGGAAGCCACACTTCAGATTCCAGGACTCTCCAGCAGTGAGGCTTACAAGCACTTCTGAGCGGGGAGCTGCAAAAGCTGCTCCATAGGAAATGAAGAAATGTTACTCCATGGGAAATGTCTGATATTTCTGTATTCTGTGTTCTGACATCCATGGCAAATGTAACCTGCTCTCAGCAATCTCATCTTTGGTTAACATCAACAGCTCCCAATCGTCTCCAGAGACAGGTGCCTTCATCAGCCCTGTTACACAGCATACAGTGCTGGGGTGAGACAGTAGGACCATCCCAATGGTTTCAGTTTCATTAGGACTTAGAGTGCTCAGGGTATGTGAAAGACCAGTTCCTGTTTGTTTTCTGTCTAAAAAACACACTGGACTTCAGTGGACTTTGTGAAGAGGAGAGATCGGGGAGGGATGAAAAACCCCAGGAAGAAACAGACAATGAAAGGCTGACTGCACTAAAGTAGATAGGAAAATCAAAGGATGTCCTGGCCAGATTTTACATGAAGAATCTGAAGATTCCTGACATCCTTCTGAAAGCATTCTTCCCAGTGGCTTACCTTTTGTTTTGGTTTATTTTTTTTTTCTGAAGTCATGGCTGAATTTTGATAATCCTGTTACACTTTACCTAGTTAAAGAAAGACTTGTTCTTTCATATGTGCACTTTTATTCACTTAGATTTATGGTATTTACAATATGCTATAAAACATCCATGCTGATTTGGGCTGTGATGGAGTTAATTTTCTTCACAGTATCTAGTATGGGGATGGGTTTGGGACTTGTCCTGGAAACTGTGTTGATAATTCAGGAATGTTTTCCTTTCTGCTGAGCAGTACTTATGCAAAGCCAAGGCCTTTTCTGCTCTTCACTCCACCCCAGCAGCAAGTGGACTGGGGGCGCACAAGGAGCTGGGAAGGGGACACAGCCAGAACAGCCGACCCCAGCTGACCCAAGGGGTATTCCGTACTATATGACGTCATGCTCAGCTTATAAAGCTGGGGGATGAAGAAGGAAGAGAGGGATATTTGGAGAGATAGCATTTGTAGTCCCAAGTCACCCTTGTCCATGATGAAGCTTGGCTTTCCTGGAGCTGGCTGAACACCTGCCTGCCCATGGGAAGGAGTGAATTATTTCCTTGTTTTGCTTTGCTTGCATGTGTGGCTTTTGCTTTGCCTATTAGACTGCCTGTACCTCAAGCCACAAGTTTTCTCGCTTTTACCCTTCCAATTCTCTCCCTTATCGCATTTGGTGGGAGGAAACAAGCGGCTGCAGGGGGCTGAGTGGCCACTTGGGGTTAAACCATGACAACACTTACTATCTTTACACTTATATGTAGTTGGTTTAATAAAATACATCGCTCTCTACAGAAACTGTTTCAAAGCATTTTAAACAATATTCTTGCTTCCTAATAATGTTTTAAAGGCCAAGAACATGGTCATGAAAAAATAATTCTATGTATTTTATATATTCCTCTTTAATAAAACAGGCAGGGGAGACGAGGAGGAGGTGTCACCTTCTATGTCAATTACCAACTGGAGTGCATGGAGCTCTGCCTGGGGATGGATGAGGAGCTGACTGAGAGCTTGTGGGTCAGGATTCAAGGGAGGGGAGGGACAGGTGACATGAGTCATCTATAGACAGATAGGAGTGACCTTGTGATCACAAGCCCTGCACCTCATGGGGAACTTCAACCACCCCAATATCTGTTGGAAGGACAACACAGCCGGGAATTAAGCAACCCGTGAGGTTCCTGGAGTGCTTTCATGATAATTTTCTTCTCCAAGTGATAGAGAAGCCAGCAAGGAGAGTTGCTGTGCTGGACCTTGTTCTCACCAACAAGGAGGGGCTGGTGGGGGACGTGAAGCTCAGGGACAGCCTTGGCTGCAGTGACCATGAAATTGTGGAATTTGAGATCCTTAGGGCAGCAAGGAGGGAGCACAGCAAGCTCACTGCCCTGGACTTCAGGAGAGCTGGCTTGGCCTCTTCAGAGACCTGCTTGTTAGAGTGCCATGGGTTAAAGCCCTGGAAGGAAGAAGGGTCCAGAAAAACTGGCTAATATTCAAGATTCACCTCCTTCAGACTCAGGAATGATGCATTCCAAAGAAGAGGATATCAGGCAAAAATGTCAGGAGGCCTGCATGGATGAACATGGAGCTCCCAGATAAATTCAAACACTAAAAGGAAGCCTACAGACAACTGGAGCAAGGACAGGTAGCCTGGGAATAATACAGATGAATTGTCCAGGTATCCAGGGATTAGATTAGGAAAACTAAATCCCTGACAGAATTAAATCTCTCCAGGGACATCAAGGGCAACAAAAAAAGCCTCTATAGGTACACTAGTGATAATAGGAAGACTAGAGAAAATGAGAGCCATCTCCAGAAGGAAAGAGTAGACCTAGTTAGCAAGGAGATGGAGAAGGCTATGGTACTCAATGACTTTTTTGCCTCTTTCTTCACCAGTAAATTCTCCAATCACACCACCCAAATTGTAGAATGTAAAGGCAGGGATTGGGAGAATGAAGAGGCACACTGTAGGAGAAGATCAAGAATATCTAAGGAACCTCAAGGTGCATAAATCTGTGGGACCCAATCAGATGCTTATTTGGGTCCTGAGAGAATTGATGAAGGAAGTAGCTAAGCCACTATCCATCATATTTGAGAAGTCATGGCAGTCCAGTTAAGTTCCCACTGACTGGAAAAGGGGAAATATAACCCCTGTTTTAAAAAAGGAAACTAAGGAAGGGAAGTAAGAAAGGTCCAGGGAACTACAGGCCACTCAGTGCCTGGCAAAACCACGGAGCTGATCCTCCTGGAAACTACACTAAGGCTCACAGAAAATACCGAGGTGATTGGTGACAGGCTTCACTGATGACAAATCATGCCTGACAAATTTGGTGGCCTTCTATTACAGGATTACAGAGACTGTGGATGAAGAAAGAGTGACTGACCTCAGCTACCTGGACTTGTGCAAGGCATTTGACACTGTCCCACGCAACATCCTTGTCTCTAAACCAGAGACACGGAGTTGACATCTGGACCACTCCATGGATATGGAAAAAACTGGAAGCTCACACTCAGAGAGTTGCAGCAGCTCCATGTCCAAGTGGAGACCATTGATGAGAGGCTTCCTCAGGGAACCCTGGGACTGGTGCTGCTAAATATCTTTGTCAGTGACATGGGCAGTGGGATGGAGTGCACCCTCAGCAAGTTCACTGATGACACAAGGCTTGTGGTGCCATCAACATGCTGGAGGGAAGGGATGATGCTGGAGGGACCTGGATAGGCCTGAGAGGTGGGTCTGAGTGAACCTCATGAAGTTCAACAAGGTCAAGTACAACATCCTGCACCTGGGTCTCGGCAGTCCTGAGCAGAAGTACAGTCTGGGCAGAGAATGGATCAAGAACAGCCCTAGTGTGAAAGAATTGGGGTTGTTGGTAGATGAGAAGCTGGACATGAGTGGACAGTGGGCACTCACAGCCCAGAAAATCAAACCCCATCCTGGGCTGCATCAAAAGCTGTGTGGCCAGCAGGTCAGGGGATGTGATTCTGTCCCTCTACCCCCTTCTGTCCCTGAGACCCCACCTGGAGTGCTCATCCAGCTCCGGGATCCTCAGCAGAGGTCCAGAGGGAGTCCACAAAAATGATCAGAGAAATAGAGCCCTCTCCTGTGACAGCAGACTGAAAGCATTAGGATTGTTCAGCCTGGAGAAGAAAAGGCTCAGAAAAGATTTTTCTAATGGCCTTCCAGTACCAAAAGGGGGCCCTACAAGAGAGCTGGAGGGGGACTTTTAAAGATAACATGTAGTGATAGGACAAGGGGAAATGACTTTGAATGAAAGGGATGTGTTTAGATTGGCTATTGGGAAGAAATTCTTTACTGTGAGGGTGGTGAGACACTGAAACAGATTTCCTGGAGAAGCTGTGGATGCCCCATCCCTGCAAGTGTTTGAGGCCAGGTTGGATGGGGCCTTTGAGAAACCTGGCCCTAGTAGAAAGTTTTCCTTTGCATGACAGGAAAAGTAGAACTAGAGTATTCTCAATATCCCTTCCAACTGAAACCATTCTATTTTACTTTTCTATAATGTAACTGAATGGTTCTTCCCCATTCATAGTAATTCCAACTATTCTTGCTCAGGGTGTAATTATGCACTAAAAATGAATATGTTGGTCTGTTACCTTCTGTCATGCTGTAATTATAAGCATCAGTCAATTGAACAGATAAGGCCTTTAGCATTATGGGGTCTTATAAATATGTGACTCTTTATATTTCCCCAAGGGAAGCAACACAGAAGTTCATGTAAATGAATAAAGATATCCACCTGGAACACTGTCTGATACCCCAGAGCAGCCTGTTGATTCAAAAAACATCTGTCTTAATCTTGGATAAAAGAACACAAGATATCAAAAGCTTAAAAGATACCAGGTAAGCATTATTATCTTTTGTATCCTCAGTATTATAAACCAAATGGAGTTGCTACATTTCATCTTAGTCATAGCCAACACAGGAATGGTGTTGTTAATAACTTGAGAAGCAAATAATCAGGTTCACCATGAATCAGCTGGAGTTCCATTTTGTGGCTTTTCTCGCTTGTTCGGTATGCTTTGGTGCTTTTAAGATATTTGACATATTGATACATTCATGTATTCTTACAGAAAATAGAAGCATCTGGAAAAGCAATATATTGTCAAGGTATTTAAAAATGGGAGTCCAAGTCTGGATGTGGCAATTCGTAACAGATTAAGTCTAGGCAAAGGTCACCCATTAAACAATTTCAGAATAAAAAAACCAAGTAGCAGTGTGGAGAGGGAGAGTCAGAGGCAGATGGATTTCTTGAAGTGGGATAATGATGGAAAAAACAAGTTTAAGGAAGAAAGCCAACATCTTAGGTGGAATTGAAAATGATAACAACAAACCTGCTACCCAGGAGCTTGTAGCTGTTGTAAAATTTCCTTGCCATTCTGTGGAAGAGACATGAATGTGCATTTTGGGACTTACAGTTAGATTAAGAAATATGGAAACTCTTTGTAGTCCTCACTCCTCTCTTTTTAGCTGGAAAAGCAGCAAAGGATCTGTAAAGTGCATATTGCAGCAAAAGTCACACACAATTTTATACGATTCATCAAAACATTCAACAAAAGCAGCTGTTAGGTGAAGGCTGGCTAGAAATGCTTTGAACTTGGATGAGAAGCGATGATAACTATTAACTAACAAACAGGAGCAGTTGTCTACCATTGTCACTAATAAAATGAAAGGCAGACACTCTTTCAACAGTTACACAAAATGTTCCACGAACGTTATGCTGATATGAGTGCACCCAAAAAATCTTGGTTCTAAAGCGTAGACTTGTGTGAAGACATTGCAGATACTGACTTCTGGAAGTGGTAACAAGAGAAGTGGAAAAGAAGCAGGAAAACCCACAAAATTATTTGACCCCTTGCATGTCCACAAAAAGATGAGGAACGTGCTGACTATTTTAGAGCACAGAGTAACCTTGGATTTCATATGATGAAATTATGATTGTAACAGAAAATAAACTGTTGAATCACGTGTTCCTTTTTCAGAAAGAAAAATTTAATATTTAAACACCATTTTTTCACCCATTTGTCTAGAAAAATAAGTGAAGGATTAATTAATTAAGAGACAAGAGAATACAGTATGCCTCCCTGATTTGTTCCACAATTAGCCTGCGTAAAGAAATATAAACCTAAGAACAATTTTATCTGCATTTAAATCTAAAGCCTAATGTGATGTAAATGTCAGTGAATGTGCTAGCACAAGGCTGACAATGAAGAATCTCTGCACAGAACACAGTCTTTCAGAAAATGGTTCTCTGTACTACAAATTGGCTCAGACTAGAAAACTCTAAAAAAAAATCTTACCACAGACACACAGAGGTTTCTCAGTACAGATTGCTCAAGAGTTTGGGCTGGAAGCCTGGAGTCAAAACTGAACAAAAGCCTGTCTGCTAAAGAAGAATTCACTTCCAGCAACCCCTGTTCCACGATGGAAAAGCTCTGCCAGCCACATGAGGCACAGCGGGAAGAAGAAAAGAATTCAAAAGGAAACTTGGCTTTGTACCTATTGCAGCCTTAATCATCCTTTTTGAACAGAATTCAGCTGTCAGCCATGTGGAAGACAAACACCTGTGAGAAAGTACAGAAACATCTGATATTAGGGGTGATATTACAACCAGCATCTGCTGCTTGTCTCCCATTCTGTTAGAATAAAACAGTAATGCAAGTCCTGTCATAAAAACTAATGCATTAGGATGAATGAGGACATCCACCAGGCAACTGAGGCAAAATTTTTTTTGAAAGAAAGAAGTAACCAAGATGATGTCATGCTTTTATGGATTGACTGTTGTTGTTGCCATTCTTTACTGTATCTTGGACACAGGGAAATAATAACACTGGTGGACAGTAAAACCTGCTCTCTTTCTTCCTCTTAAGGTTTCTATTCCAGACTCATATTTTCTGTTTCCACTTCCTGTAATTTCTAGGGTTATCGTCTCACCTGGCCCTTGTAAAGGTATTTTCAAAATATTTGCTTAAATAATCCACCTAACTTGCAGTATTTGTTATTTTTCTCTATAGAGGATTCTGTAAAGCCCATGGGACTTATCACAATCGTGTAAGACAGGTAGCTATCACTAAGTTAATAGATAGCCAGGTTTTATACCAGTATGGACTATGAAACCAGAGAGAACTCCATGTCTGTGTTTTGAATTACGTAAGGAAACCTTTGATGCTGCCTGGTACTTAATCACAGACTTGGAAAGATAATATGTTTGTACCAGTCTGTAAAATTATACGTATAGCCATGGCTGCCTTCAAAAGATTCTTCTAGTGACTTGATAATTTTACAACATACTTTGTGTCCCAGAAGCTCATAGGTTCTTTCAGTGGAAAGGGTTAATTTGTTTTGTTAGAGAAAGTGGCAAACAGATAATCTAAAAAACTTTGTCTGGCGTGATATGGGCATTTTAAAGCAGACAGGGGAGAATTTTAAAGTGGCTGTATGAGGGAAGCAAGACCAAGAATATAAGTGTTTGCTTCAAATTAAATTAGCTTATGGTTGGAAGAAGAAAGGTTAGGATACTACTGAAGATGAGGCGGTAGCAAAAGTCACTTTGGTAGGACAGGTATTTATTTATTCTACATTCTTGAATGCTTATAGATCTTTTTGGTGCCAGGGACTGCAGTTCTTCATTTTTCAGCTTTTACAAGTTAGGATATTGTGACACATCTTCAACACAAAGGTAAGATAAACTGAATCTGTCTATGTTGTAACAAGTATGTAATAATTAAATTTGTATACAGAAATAAAAAGAAAGTTCTGGATTAATGTTATAACATGGTTTAAACTTGCCTACTCACTTACCAAAGTACCAGCAGGATTTTGACAAGGGTTTTTTCTACATTAGATGAAACTGAAAGCTGATGTCAAGAAACATTACAGAGAAAATAAAGAATTTCAAGGAATTCAAGGGATTAATTTAGAATACCACTTCCATTTTTGAAAGTCACATGCAGCTGCATTTTAATTCCAGAGGACTTTAAAAATTGTACCTATATTATACTGCAAAATATTGATGTTGATGTTAAAGAATTTTGTAAAATAAAGCTGTAAGGAGCTTCCAATGAGTTCGTATGCTTTTTTCCCCCCTGGAATTTGGTTGCTTATAGTATATATTCTCCTCATATTTCTAGGTTGGAATTTATGTTTCTGGGTTGACATTTTTACTAACTGGTGAAGACTTTAAATTGTAGGGCTGTATCTGCAAAAATTATAGTAATCATCATTACTGCAGTCTGCAAGTCTGGACACCAATGCATGTGGTTCTGGTGACAAACAAAATAGGCAGAATCCTTCATTCACAAATGAATTTGTGTTTGTACATTTTTAATATACTAGAGACTGCCAAAAGTGAGAGAAAGTGAGAAAACAAGAAGCCTCTGTTTCCTTCCTAGAAGGAAAGCATCTTTCTTGAAGTAGCTTTAGGCTTGGACAAACCATAAAAATAAAACTGAAACTGTGAGTAATACTTTTTATAACAATAAGTTTACAAATTAAAGAGGGAACGTTTATAAAATTACTCATTCCTCCCCCCATATATATGTGCTTTTCCTTTTCAAAGGTATTGCTATGTCTCTCTAGATTGTCGCTAGTTGTTGATCATTCTTAATTTAGTGTATATGTCAAAGGATGGATTTGCACTTCCTCCTTATGCTCATCTATTCAGTATGTTTGTCATAACTTAAGGGGATGAGTAATCCAGGATGATAGTCCTCAACAAGACTTTTTTATTTTATCAGTGTTACACAGAGAATAGAGGAAAATCCTTAATCCTGAAATCATCTGTCTGAGAAAATAAAGGAATACAAGTAGACAAAATGAACTTTTTTTTTCTTTAGAAATAGCTAATTCTTTCACTGTAAAGTCAGTTCCTTCCAGTTCAAAAGGATCATGCACTCGAGTGTGGAGATAGCTAAAGTTTACTGTGGATTGATACATGATACCTGTAATGCAGCAACCTGAACATCTGGCACCTGCACAAATCACCCAACTGAGGGCCTCACAGTCTGTCCTCTCTTACTTTTACAATAGAGCACAAATGTTACAAGTCAGCACATTTCTTGGAGAGCAAAAAGGTGAACCAGATAAGTAGGTAGCATGTCACTGGGACAAGAACGTGATATATTCAGGTGGAGGATAGTGGCCTCTCGAAAGTGAAGGTGTCTCTATCGTGTTTTCATATCAGGTTTTAAGTTACACATTTATACAACTAGTCATTTGCCACACTGATTAAAATAGGAAGCATATGCAGTTATGTAATGGGACATTTGTGGTTGCAATTGCTGGGTCATTTGCATCTGTGCCAAACTGAGAAGGTTTATGCTTGCTTTGCAAAATGGAAATACTAATGAAAATCTGGGAGATGGATGTAATCAGACATTGTGACTTTGGGCAAAGGAGGATCCTGCATTGCTCATTTCTAATAAAACTAAGTGGCCTGGAGCAGTGATTTTATGGTGGGCTTAAATAAGATGTCTTTTAATTTGTTCTATAGTATACCAAAAAGCCCAAAGCAGTGATTCAGCAAGCTGTGGGTGAAATCCAGGCCGCAAATGAAATCAGTTCGTTGGGGTTACAAAGCAGGAGTTAACAGCATTGCAGGGATAGACTGGAGAACAACACTGAGACTCAGGCTTGCTAAGAGCCTTAACTCAAACTTTGTTTTATCTATTTGTCAAATGAAGGGTCACCTGTATTATAACTTCACCTCTACCAGCCAATTAAAGTCAAAGAAAAGGGTTTTGTAGCCCATTAGATTACATTGTTTACCTTCTACTTAAGAAAATACACAAGTAATACACAGGTAAAATTAAAGAGAGTTTTTCCTTCCTTCTCTTTTCTCCTTCTCAATCCTGAAAGTGAAGAACACTAGATCTTTGTGTCCTAGAGCAGCAGGCTTGAGGGAAGCTGCAAAGTTTGTTTGTAGATTAGCTAAAATTCTGCATTATTTCACTTCAGAAATTAAGAACTTCTTTACTTTGTGAGTCCTGAGAATGAAAAACAAAAGAAGTAGTGAGTTCACAATAGGAAAGAACAAAAATTGATTTTGGAAGAGCAAAATAAGCTTTGGTAGGTTATTTAAAATGTTGGAGGTGAGGGGCGTGGAGTTGTTTGTTTGTTCAAATAATTGTTATTTGTCTTCAATGATGAATCATCATAAGAAAAATCTCAGAGGGGACACAAACACTTACCTTTATTGTGTGTCTACATAGGAAGTCGCAGTGATATCCCTTCACTTCTGAGTGGTTGCTGAGCAAGCTCCCACACTCGGTGTTTATATGTTACAGTTTCAGAGTGTAATAACAAGCATCCTTCCATTCTCATTTAAAACCTCTCTAATTAACTTTCTGACCCCTTCTGCAGCCATATGGATCCAATGTCATCCAGGAGTTATTGCCTTATGGTGCTCCAGATGCACCTAATGTGTCCACACAGAAACAACCTTCCAAACTGCTGGTGATCTGGACAACAGCCGTTTTCCCCAGCTAAAACTCTGTTTTGTTTTGTCTGTGTCCAGTGAAATGCTGGGCTCTTATACACAAAGCATGCATTTATGCTGATTAAGCACCTTTTTTTTGTGAGTAGGTTATGCACAATCAAGCGCATTTGACTCAAATACAGAAGCATAAATTGGTTTACTCAGTTAAAAGCTTTGATCTGGCAGCTAGAGATAATAGGTGGAGCTTAAGGAATCCACAGTGCTTATGAATACTGATTTACTTTTGGCCTGTAAATCAGCATGCTGAGAGTAGGCAGAAATTTCTTCACTGGCACTAACAAAGCGTTGAGCTCGTGAGAGTAAGAGATGCACTATTTTTCCTAGGAACTTTGCTTCTATGTATGGCCTTCCCTTGCTAGTCTAACACAAATAGGCTCCTGAATTATCCATATGCTACATGTTACTGCAGAATAGGAAGTATAAATGGCTGCCTTAAGACAAAATGCTAGTTACAAGCTGCAGGAGCTTCACAGATTTCACAGATTTAGTGGGATATACTCAGAAAAGGAATCTTGCCTTTGTTTAAAAGGCATAAAATTTACTTTCAGATTTTCTTCATTTCAATGTGTGGATAAAGCCAAAAGAAGTAGCAATTGAAAAGATTGTGTATATATTTTAAATATTCCTTTAGGATGTGCCTGCCATCTTAAGAATTGGAAATAGTAAAAATACTGTGTTCTGTCCAAAGATTTGCTGCAGAAGTAATGATTTCTTTTACAGACCATTAACTTGAAACCAGTGCAATGATTTAGCTATAATCCTCAAAATTACTGATCAACCATTTTCACCTAGTCAGCTTTTTGCTGTAACATGAAATGAGGAAACAGTTTCTTGGATGAGATAAACAAGCAATTTGTTATCATTGTAAAATTGAAGTGTGCAACATAAGCAAAACAGCTTTTTGCATTCTGTTTTTAGCAGTTACCACCTGTCTTATTGTTTAACTTCATCTGACCATTTCTGTATTCCTGCTTTTTGTTACTGTAAAAACCCAAAACAAATATCCTGCCAGCCCTAATTTTTTTCTAAATATTTGCCATATTCACAGTTGTTACAAGAAATTT